AAAACCATATAAAGCTTAATTTATATCAGTTTCATTTCTGCCCATCTAATTCTATCTGTGAACTAGAAAATAACACCTCATGATGTTCTGCGGCTGATGACGAAGGAAATAGCCAGAAATCACGAAAAAGAAAACATCATCCAGTAATATTATCAGGGTGATCAATTCGCTAATGAATCGCGCAACATTATCATCAAAATATTTCTCATTTTTGAATTTAACTTTGACTTTCCATCGAAGAATTGATGCGTGATATGACCATAAGTTGAGTGGATAATTGTGACGAGTAAAAGTAAAAAACGAACCTTTTCAATTGCTTTTTGATCATCAGGTAATTTAACGAGTGATCGCAACTTATCCAATATGTCATCAACACGCATCAGCGTCACTCTGAACATTTACAATATCATGATATCATTACATGAGAAAACATCAAAACATATTGTCAAAACAGCGCAGCATTCTGAGAGAATGTTGTTGGATACACGAAAAATGGTAAACTGAAAAATTACGTGAATGAAGTGTTGACTACGATGAAATTGACTAACAGGATGTAAAGTTAAGTTCAGTCGCTTAAAATTAAGAACGGCAGAGGATGGATTAAGAAAGTGATCATGTCGATTGCATACTGATCATTCGCAACGAAAACGATGATTGCTTTGAAATAAATATGACAACAAACTTCTTCGTAGTGGCAGCATTCGCAATAGCGGGATCTGCAACTGTCTCATCAATCGTACGACGTTTCTCCTCCAACTTTTCGACAAGAGCTTCAACTTTGTTCAAAATTGTGCCAAGACTCTGACGCAATCGTTTCGCGCCTTTCGATTCACCCAGATCCTTCTTCAGAACATCCACCTCGAGAAGATCCTAAACATTTCAGTACGATGATTCCCTCACTGAACGGCTACACTAAAAAATGATAGCTGTTCTAGAGCAAACACGCCGTCAAGTCCACTATCTATTTAAGACACTCGCGTAATCTCAATGATTGTTCAATTCCCATCAGGTTCACGAATCTAAACTTCTGAAGATTTCATCATCCAAACAACGGCAATCAAAAACATTTGCAACACAGTTTTCCGGTTGATATTGCCTCCTCAACACAACTGATCATAACCATTAATGAAATAAACCTCGTTGAGCTCGGTGAGTTTCTCCTTCAGTTCAATAACATCGTGCTTCACTTCCGACACCACGCTACCGTGAATTACGTCCTCAATCTTCTTCAGATCTTTCTATAATAAAAATTCTTCAGCGAACTATCCTTTAAATGACACTCACCAAAAACCGTTGTCGAATGGATAAATTTGCACTTAAAGAGAAATGAATTGCTGAGTTTACATTTCTCGATTTTACAGTTTTCTTGATAATTGCTCAGTCAGTTGCTGATAATCGTTTGATAGATAACTTGCATCATTTACCCACTCAGCTTTTTTAAAGCATTTCAACGATGCACCTCACATAGCAATAGTTTTGCTCTTTGTCAAAGTCTTGTACNAGACGTGAATGAGATACTGAATGGGTGAATACCTGATCAACGGCCGTAGCTTGTGCAACTTTTTCAGCCACATGTTTCGATGCAACACCAACAGTGAGTAATGCTTCTGCGGCTAAACTTTCTTTCAGAGCGATAGAAGGTGGCACAGGCTTCGTCTCAGCGCTCACTTCATCAGCCAGCACTTCGGCTCCTTTCTCCTTCAACAAGAATCCTTGATTGCTGACACGTACAAGTCACATCACTATTCTTGCTACTAAATGTGTAAAATGGAAATCATCTTCTTGATAACTGCCATAAACACTCACCAAAATAGGTTTCTCTGAAACCATTTCAGCAGAAGCTTCCGATGTAGATGCTGCAGCCGCGGCTTGCTCGATGGCCAGTTTCGCTTTCTCCTTTTCCAGTTCCTCTTCCATCTTCTTCTGTAACAAAACAAAGTGATCAGCCAGGTAACTGTGACTATAATCGGAATATTTCGAGTGGCAATATTCATGCAAATCACGGAAGTGATTCGATCAGATTCCATCATCAAAACTGCATAAATAAAGCATACGCATTTTCTCCTCATTCAATTAAACACATCAGGATGTTATCTGAAAGGGATCACAAAAGCAATCGATTAATATTTATAATATTTTACAAACCTCTTGAATTGAATAATGCTTATGATGAAATAAAACTGAATGGATGAAATGAATCAAAAACTCATCCCGATGTACCTTTTCTTCAGCAGCCTTCTTTGCCTCTGCGACCGTTTTCCTCTCCTCTTGAATACCCTTCTCGATGGCTTTTATCAGATTCAAACGTTCTTTATAGTCAACCTTATCACCTTCTAATTCAGTTAGCTTCTGACGCGTTTGTTCCGCAATTCCTAAACGAATGAGTTTACAATTTATTGTGACGGCGTAGCACATAGTCATTGTAACAATTAAAATCGGCAATACTCTCCATTTACTAATTGTAAACTTGATAATAGCAAAGGCCAATGTTCGAATTACGTTCCAGAACATGTTCTCCTATAAGTGAATAATACATTTGTTCTGATATTCGTGTCATCAATTAAAATTAACTAATTTACTCGTGTTATTGGATGATAACCTACCCATCAATGAATGATATCTTTTCAGGGCATAAATCACTATCCAACATCATTATCAGAGGATTTTTCTGATATTCGCATTACTTTTGTTCGTTCAAATGCTCATGATGAAGCATTGTAATGAACTTAGAACGAACCTTCAGGGAGACTGGAGAGCAGAGCCTTAAGACGATCCGTGAATGAGATATCCTCAGGAAGGTAAATTGATCTCGAAAGAAGTAACAACGACGGTGGCACCTTATCGTTCAAGGATAATTCTAACCATTGTTTCAACTGAAAATCCATTTCATGTTCATTATCTCATAATGTGAAAATGTCATAGAAGTTATGTGAATGAATGTTGTTTACTTGTTGCAACGTTTCGAAGAAGTGAATGGGCGCAACATTGTTTTATGAGAGAAGAAGTTTTTAGACTGGTGGAAGTAAATCCAGCAAACGCCTCGAAAATTGCGGTTCAGTTCAAACAATAATAAACGATACCTGATCTTTAAGACGATGTTCACTCACTCCAAAGGAACGCATTCCACGAGCTCTGCACGCCGTTTGCAATTCAGCCATAGACAAATTATCAACACCTCCTTCCAGTGCTATTTCCTTAAAATCATCAATGTCATTAAGTAATAAACCACCTTTCACGAACAAGACAACGACGAAATGCACTGATTCAATCGAATTCATAACAGCTACTCTTTTTCACTTAACGACGACAAATGCTCATGGACATCCACAACATTCACGATCAAATCTGGTTTTAATTATCCATACATTTGTTGCATTTAGAACAGAGATTTCGCATTCACAGCTTTGCTGGCTTTATGAGAAGAAATCGTGCATGGGCATATGAGTACGAATGTGGACTAACTTTATCATCAGCTTTCAGTTCCCTTAACTTCATGTTCAATTGGAATC